CATGGGCAGCGTAAGTTGACTGCTCCAAAATAATCAACTAGTCTACTATGTTGGTTGGAAAAGTCTACTCAAAATGGTCCCACTATTACTAGTATAAATATATGTACTCGCCACTCCTAGACCACCATACTCAACACTTTGACTAATATAGAACACAGAGAGAGTGAGAGAGAGGGAGAGAGAGATGGAATTTGCAGCGGCGGCAAGTGAAAAGCATGAGATAGTGATAATCGGTGGTGGCATTTGTGGACTTGCCACAGCCCTTGCTCTTCACAGGTACCATTACAACCTACCTATATATATTTGTATTATTAAGCTCACAGATACCATAAATATGAAAATTTTGTTACTAAAGTATTAGTATTATCTCCTTATAGACCCTCCACTGCCTCCGGCCAACAATTCTCCTCCTAACACTTGTCAGTTTTTGCTCTTATTCGGACTCGAATATGTGAACTGAATTTGATACTACTTGTTAAGATCAAACACTTAATTACCATTTTGCAAAAAATTAGCTCGTAGCGAATGTGTAACTTTATTTTCTTATACTGCCATACATTTTTGAGAGCCCAGATGCTGAACTTGACCCTTTACCGTCCTCCACTCAATAATCCACTTAGCCACATGGTGTTGGACTTTTTGAGAGCCAGAGTGATGGACTTGACCCTTTAATAGCATCCGACCAAAAATCCACTTAGCCACATGGTGCTGGACTTGGCCATTATCGGCCTCCGCCCAACACCAGCTAGTCTAAACAACCAGTCTAAACTGCTCTTGCTGGGACTCAAACCCGTAAACTGACTCTGATACCACTTAGCTTGTTAGATAATCAAGCGCTTATCACTACACCAGAAATTATAACTCGCAACTTTATTTCTTTGTAAACCGACATCACATTTTCGAAAGATAGGATGATGGACTTGACCTTTCACCGGCATCCATCCAACCTATATCATAACAACTATACAAAATAATTTGTACATAATTAGGATCACTTGTATTTGGGATGTATGATATATACAGGAAAGGATTGAAAAGTATAGTGTTAGAAAGATCGGAAACACTTCGAGCACAAGGGGGAGGAATTGGGCTGTTGCCTAACGCATGGCGAGCACTTGATCAACTTGGTGTTGGGTCCCGGCTAAGAAGCATGGCTGTTCTTCTGCAGGGGTGAGTGATTATTATTGATTAACAACTTGCCATATGTATATATGGAATATGGTCAAATGGTTGGCACGGGCTTAACTCATTAATTCAGTAGATAATATTTGAGAAAAGAGACCAAGGTTCGAATTTCTGTCAGTGTGAGGATTATGTTCAAAGTAGACAGAATTTTTTATACGCATCAAATGCTCTGTCGAGTCGGGGTGTAGGGGTTTTTGAAATTGGGGCAACTTATAGGAGAAGAAGGAATATGGTCAAATTATCATTTATTGCATAATTTATAATAATGTGTATGTAGCGTTGTACGTCCATACAACAATTACTCCCACTACCTGCCTGCCATTGACTCCATCCAAATATAATTTAATTTTGTGGTGCTCGTCGCTATCATATATGGAGTATATATATCAACTTGTGATAATAAGTTCACCATACAACCTATTCTTTCTACTTTAATTTACATACTACTTGTGCTATAAATATATGTGTGAATTTTATGATATTGTTTCACATTTTTTTTTTAAAAAATAATGTTATGTTAATACATTATTTCTTATTAATGCAGGGGACGTGATATCTTGATTGACGAAAATAAAGAACGAAAGATAGAACATGTGTAAGTTTGATATTCATTCATATTTCAATTTTCATGTTTACTAATTGAAAGTTGAATAAATTATTTAAATTTGTAAACATAAAATTTTCAAACAATCATTGTCACTAAGATGTTTAAAAGGAGAAAAAAATAACGGAATATGTAATAAAATATTACAGTTAATATTATATCTTTAATAATAAAAAAAAAATCTTCAATGTATGATCAAGAATAAATATATAGACATGTTTGCCTTCAATGTTATTTATTTAATCATAATGTAATATTTATAATAAATTAATTTAATCATAATAAGTTGTTATAAAGTATTGTTTGAAAATTATACTAATTTGTTTTCTATTATATTGTATTAAATTATTAAAAGAATCCACTATACATACTCTTAACTTTTTTACTTTTTACTAACATAACATATTAACATATATTTTGAGTCATTTAGGGAAAAATAAGTTATACATAGCGCCAAGTACCTTGTTCTATCTCTCCTATGTGGGAAGCAATGAGATCTCTCCTCAGTGAAGACATTGTTGACTCTGTGTGCTTCATTAAGTTGAAAAAACATATTTGAACAGATACTACAATGTAATAGAGTCAGTAACATTCTAAAAAAAAGTTATATATAGTTTTTATTTATTTTTCCTCCTAAAAAAATTCAATATGTATCTTTTTTTTTTTTTTTTAATTATTGTTACTGTAAGTCCACTTATCAATTTCTATATACTAAATTAAGTATGTATGTGGTGGTGATTATGGATAGGACTGGAGAGTCACGTTGCTTGCAAAGGAGTGATCTTATCACAACGTTGGCTGACGAATTACCGATTGGGACTATACGCCTTGGTTCTGAGGTTGTCTCCATTGACCTTGACACTGTTACTGAAACGCCACGCCTTTTGCTCACTTGTGGGAGCTACATTGATGCAGAGGTATTTTTTCAGATATTTAATTTTATTTTGTTTGTTCAATTATTATAATTAGGGAAAAGGGTTAAATAGGCTCTCGAATTTTAGCTTAAAAGTCAATTAGGCCCCTAAATTTTTTAAAGGTGCAATTACACCCATCAACAATTCATTTAGGTGCAATGAAGCCCAAAAACAAGTTAATGACCTGCTATCACATGTCATTAGGGTTCAGGCCACCTTTCGACGAATTTTTCGGCAAAAAAAGTGACCAGCAACAGACCCAGATTTGCCGAAAATTTCGCCGGTCAAAATTTTTTTTTTTTTTTTTTTTTTTTTTTTTTACCGGAAAATTCGCCGGAAGGTGGCCTGAACCCTAATGACCTGTGATAGCAGGTTATTAATTTGTTTTTGGGCTTCATTGCACTTAAATGAATTGTTGATGGGTGTAATTGCACCTTTAAAAAGTTTAGGGGCCTAATTAACTTTTAAACTAAAGTTCGAGAGCCTATTTGACCCTTCTCCCTTATAATTATTAGCTATAGTTTTAGTATGGTGATAAACATTTGATTTTGTCAATTGGTGTCAATGCAGGACATTAAAATATAATTTTTTAGTTTATGTGTTAAAATTAAATTTGTTGGTTACATATTAAAGGTTAATGAGTTTATAAATGGCAGATTGTGATAGGGTGTGAAGGAGGGAGATCAAAAGTGGCAGAGTTGCTAGGGTTGAAGGCGTCAAGGGCATTTGATGTTGGTGTAATTAGGGGCCTCACCACCTACCCAAATGCTCATTCAATGCCACATGAATTTCGCCGAATTAGAAAAGGAGAAATTGGGGTTGGAATGCTTCCAATTACTCAACATTTGATCCATTGGTTTGTGGCCCTTCCAACGCACTTATTATCAGGTATAAATTAATTCTTCACTAATTTGTTACTAAAACCTTCAATCCCCATTGATGAATTTGGATAGACAATTGATACTAGACCTCACTTTTCTTATTATAATCTAATGTGATTGACAGGAGATAAGTTCCCACATGATCCAAAACACATCAAACAAATGGCCCTAGAGTTAATAAAGGACTTCCCTTCAAACATACACGAAGCAATAGAATTGTCGGACCTGGATTCTATGTCTGCCGCGCACTTGAGGTATCGTGCACCATGGGACTTGCTCATTGGGAGAATGCGTAAAGGGACGGTTACTGTTGCGGGGGACGCAATGCACGTGATGGGCCCTTTCGTAGGGCAGGGTGGCGCCTCCGGGCTAGAAGATGCGGTTGTGCTGGGGAGATGCCTCAGCATGGCAATGAGTGGGATTGAAGGCAACAACAAGAAGGAAAAGATTGCGAAAATCGAAGCTGGGTTGGATCAATATGTGAAGGAAAGGAGAATGCGGGTTTTGGGATTGTCCACTATCACTTATCTCATTGGTATCATTGTGGGGAGCACATCCCCACTCGTAAAGATGATTGTTGGCTTTACCTTAGCTATTCTGTTTAGGGATAGAGCATCCCATGTTCATTTTGATTGTGGTAAGCTCTAATGGGTATATCTTGCCTCAAATACTGCTTACTAAATTACTAAATTAAGCTTGTGCGGACTTAATGCGTATATCTTAATGGATGGTCTAGGTGTACTACAATATAATATTATAAAATTAATACCGTGAAATGTATTAATGTTTTGATAGAAATTCTAAATAAGTGTCTTGTTAAAGGATTGTACATCAATCCTAAGAGGTGACTTGGTCCCTATATTTTGAGTTGTTTAACTAGTTGCGTTATGTTATGTTTCAAGCATGTTTTATTAGTTATTAGATTGTGTATTGTAGCATTATAGTTTTGTACTTCCCACTTTCTCATATCAATAATAATTTTTACCCTTATATATAAACTAGCATTTTGGACGCATGATGCGCGAAAATTCATGCACAATATTAACACATTGATAAATATAAATAATTAAAAATTATAGTTCAAGTTATATATGCAAATAATATATGTATTATTTTTTTTTTTTAAAAACCAATCTGCCGATTGTATTAATTGATCAAAGCTATAATAGAGTCAGGCGGGATAGAATCCCAATACATAGAATGATCCTGAGCGAAGGCTAACGAAGCTAAAGTATGAGCATGTAAATTAATCTGTCTAGGCACATAGCTTAACGAAATAGAACTAAACAAAGACATAATAGCTCTGCATTGGTCAATCACGACCCCAACATAAGAGTAAATGGGTGTGGTTTGCTGCTGCATGGTACTCCGCAAAATCATCTAATCCGTGAGACAACTTGCTGATGTGATACTCCTTTATGCAAGCCAAGAAAGCGCCTCCTTATAGGTCAGCGCCTCAGCCATGAGTGGTGAACTACCAAACGGCAATTTGCCCTTTTTTGCCGGTACGAAGGACCCCTCGGGTGATATTAGAACAATTCCATACGTGGCCTCCCTGGTTCCTTGGCGAAACCCCGCGTCCACATAGCAACGTAAAGTGGCGCCGGTCTCGTGCTGGTCTTGGCCCGAGTTTGGCGTAGGCTCCGGCAGTGGATGGCGGCAGTGTGCTGCGCTGAATGCCCTTTCCGCCACTGCTGCACCCCTGACCACATCGGCTGGCCGCACCATGGTCCGTTCCCACACCGCCGCATTGCGGCTTCTCCAAATACTGTATAGGACCGCTATCATGAGTCGTGTTTGCTCCTCCGTTAGGACCGTCATAGCCGCCGTTAACCATGTTGAAAAGGAATCTGTAACAATATTTGTTATAGGCAATTGTGTTATATTCCAAACTAGTGTAGAATATTCACAGAACACTAAAGCATGCAACACATCTTCATGATCTAAAGCACACATTGGGCAAAGAGGTCCACTTCCACTCTTTTAATAATCAAATTAGTGGCAGTGGGTAGGATATCACATATGGCTCTCCACAAAAAAGTCTTCCATTTAGGTGGGACTTTCAACTTCCACATCTTCACCCATTTATCAAAAGTTCCTGGGTTACTCTCAAAATCACCCACAATTCGCCTATAAGCATTTTTTACTGTATATGTCCCTTTTGGGTCCCCATCCAATACTATGAGTCATCATAGTCAGGGCTTACAGGGATCATAAGTATTCGGTTCACATCCTCAGGGATAAAAAGATCAGATAAGATATGTGGATCCCATGTACTTGTTTGTGGATCAATTAGACCTGCCACTCGCGCCTCTCTTAACTCTTCTGGCATATTTGTTTGTACCAAGGGGCTAGGATCATCCGGCAACCATGGATGACCCCATATCAGAGTTGACTGTCCATTCCCAATCCTGCGTCGCACCCCAGCCGTGACTATTGGGTGAGCCGCCATTATACTCCTCCAACAGAAACTCGGGCATCTCCCAATAGTAGCATCAACAAAACCAGTAGTGGGGTAATAGCGAGCCTTATATATTCTTGCGGCAAGTGATCCTGGATTGGTAAGAAAACTCCATGTCTGTTTTCCTAACATAGCCAGGTTAAAAGCTCTTAATTCCTTAAACCCCAAACCCCCAAACTTCTTAGGGACACACAATTTATCCCATGCCTTCCAATGTATCCCCTGTCTCTTCCACTTCCCCACCGGAATTTATTCATGGTTCGCTCAGTGGACTGACAAACTGTTTCAGGCAATAAAAAGATACTCATTGAAAACGTAGGCATAGATTGTGCTACACTTTTCAATAACACTTCCTTACCCGCCTGAGATAAAATTTTTTTACTCCATGATCCAATCCTTTGCCTAATCTTTTCCTCCACATAAGAAAAAAAGCTCTCTTATTTCTGCCCACAAATGATGGCAGGCCAAGATACTTTCCAAAATTGTCTGCCTGCTCAACATCCAGGCACCCTGCAATTTGCATTCTGTCCACTCCTGCAGTATTCCGGCTAAGACATATATTGGATTTATTATAGTTTACCACCTGCCCAGACAACTTCTCATACCTTACCAAACATTGCATAATGACACCAGCTTCCCGAGTATTTGCTTTGAAAAAAAGCAGACTATCATCTGCAAAAAACAGATGTGATACTGGGGGTGCCTCCCTGGCGACTCTACACCCATGTATTGATCCTGTCCCCTGTTCCCTTTGCAACAACATCGAAAGCGCCTCAGCACAGATAATGAATAAATAAGGGGAGAGAGGATCCCCCTGTCTTAGACCACGAGTCGGTTTGACCCGTCCCCCTACTTCACCTTTAACCATCACAGTATAATTCACAGTTGTCACACATAGCATAATAAGCTGGATCCACTTCTCACTATACCCTAAAACAACCAACATCCTCTCCAGGAACGACCACTCCATTCTGTCATAAGCTTTTGACATGTCTAATTTTAATGCACTCCAGCCCACAGCTCCACACTGTTTCCTGTTTAAGTAATGTCCCACCTCCGCCGCGACCAAGATGTTATCCGTTATTAGCCTGCCAGGAATAAAAGCACTTTGGGACTCAGAGATAAGATTACCCATAAGTGTTTTCATTCTATTGGCCAACATCTTAGCCATAATTCTATACGTGACATTACTTAGGGCAATCGGTCTTAAATCTGCAACTGTCTCGGGCGCTTCCGTCTTGGGAATTAAAATTATGTTGGTATCATTTAACCCTTCTGGGAACTCACCTGAGTTTAACGCATGCGTTATAAACCGAGTTACATCCTCTTCAACTACTGACCAAAAATGTTGATAAAAGCCTGAATTCATTCCATCCGGGCCAGGTGCTTTATCCGGAAACATTGAGAAAAAAGCTGTTTTTACCTCCTCCCCATTAAATGGGCGATCCAACATCACATTTTGCTCATTAGACACACGAGGGGCAAAATCATCAAAAAGGGGATCATCACAACACAAATTATTAGAAGTAAAAATACCCGTAAAATATCTCAAAACCGCCGCATGCATATCGGTGCCCTCAACCCAATCACTAACATCATTCTTTATACTAGCAATATAGTTCTTTTTTCTATGGGTAAAGGCATACCTGTGATAGAACTTAGTGTTGGTGTCTGCACCACGGAGCCAATGTTGCTTTGCTCGTTGTCTCCAAAACACATCCTCTTGGGCCTCCAACTGTTTAAGCTGATTCTCGACCAGTTGGTACTCAGCGAGGGCTGCTGGGTCACTTGTGTTTTGAAAACTCTCCTACTTCCTCCTCAACTGTCCAATCCGATCACCAAACTTATGGAACTGGTCTAACTTCATACCACAATAATTCTGACAGTGTGATAAACCATCCGTCCTCCCCTCCTGCCACCCCTCCTGCCACCCCTCTCTACCACCTCCTTACAGCCCTCATCCAACAACCATGCCATCTCAAACCTGAACCTCCTCGGCCCCCTTTCCCTACGCGTGCAAATCGCATTGATGCTTAGGAAAAGAGCCGAATGGTCCGAAGCTCGAGTCTGTAAATTCTCCACCCATGCATTTTCATTCATATCACCCCAACCATCCGTTACTAAGACCTTATCAAGTCTCTCCTGTATCCAATTCAGTGTGCCTTTTCCTTATCCCATGTAAATTGCCGGCCTCTCATCGGCATCTGCATTAGACCACATCCATCTACGGCCTCTCCAAACCCCCGTAGCAGACTATTAGGGTACGGGTTGTCTCCCCTTCTCTCATGCTGATAAAGGAGATTATTAAAATCCCCAATCACCACCCATGGCAACGCAGATCTATCCTTCAAACTAACGAGCAGGTCCAAGGATTCCTCCCTTCTATTCCGATCTGGACAACCGTAAAAGCATGTCATGCGTCAAATCTTACCTGACAAACTGACCTCCACGTCAATATGGTTCTACGAGTAACTTAACAATCTGACCGTGTTATTTTCCTTCCAGAAAAGAGCCATGCCCCCACTTAATCCTTCATTATTCACATAGAACAAGCCATCATACCCAAGCCTGACACGGACCCACTTCGTATGTATCCGTCCCACCTTGGTTTCCATCAAGAACACAAACTCAGGCTTCTTACAGGACACAAAGTGCACCACCTGTCGAACTGTGCGTGGATTGCCCAAGCCACGACAGTTCCAACTTAACGTACTCATGAGGATGGGCGGGGCTGGACACCAGCTCCCGCCATAGGCAAGTTTTTTGAACTCTCGGTCATTGCAACATCTCCTCCTCCTACTCCATCCCCGCCCTCCATTCCCTGCCTCCGGCGTTTCGCCGAAGCCACCAGTATTTCCTCCTCCGACAAGCCACTCGGCCGCATCCCACTCGCCCCAACCGTGCAATCCTCCACTCTTTCGGCCATCACTACCCTAGGTTCCATTGGACGTGGTTTCCCGCCAACTGGCACGAGCTAGCTATCCCCAACCGCTCTAGGAGCGCTCCGAGATCCACTAGCTCGCATATTCGACCTATACAGGTACCTTTCCAACGGGATTCCTGCTTCCCTAGCTCGTAGACAGAAAGTGTGCAAATGCCCCATAAAACCACAGAAGTAGCAAAACTTATGCAACCGTTCATACCTGAAATTAACCCATGCCGTGGTTTTGTCCCTTTTCATCAACTTCATCCTTCTCCTGAGTGGCCTATTAATCGGGACTGATACTCTAATACGATGAAAAGTCAACCATGGTGCCCCCTCAAACTGATCATCATGCTTAACAAAAGAGCCCAGAAAATTTCCAGCTTGTTCCAGAATCGCCTGAGTTGTATACCCTTTCGGCATATCATGCACCTGTACCCACATATCAATCCTATCAAGCTTCACATCCCCTGGGTTCACCCCATCCACAACCTCGCGACATACTAGAGCATTGTTCTCAAACGCCCATGGACCACCATTAAAGACATACTCCATATCTGTTTTATGAAAGAAAACAAATAAGAATAAACCTCTCTGGATCTCCGTTACCTGCACCGTACCCCGCGTACCGGCTGCCATATGGAAGTCAAGACCTGCCGCATAAAGTCAAGTTTTACCATTTTTTGCGTTAGGAATCGGCCCACCACCCTCCATGTTTCCTCCTCCTCCATACCACCGTCGGCGTCCGCATCCCCCGCCGGCATGAACGCTGCCTCCTCCTCCTCCTGCAGCGCCCAGTCCGCCCATAGGTCAGCTAGCGCTGCTACCTCAACCGCGGCCTCCACCGACTGGTCGGCCATCGGCTCATCCCTCCGACACCGTCCCCCTCCACCAACGCCCCCGTTCTCCACTCGCAACTCCCTAGCCATCCGACGCCGCCACACACCACCAGCGTCCCCGTCCTCCTCTCGGAATCCACTAGCCATCCGACGCTGCATATCGGCGCTCTCGTCACCATCATCATCACGCGTAACACCAGCCATTGACCGGATGAATTAACCTGTGACTATTGAAAACCTGGGAAAACCCTAGTAGTAATGGCGAAAACCCTAGAGAGAAACCCTAGAGAGGAAAGAGTTTATTGTAGAGAAACCCTTATATGTATTATATAAGCACACGTGATTTATCATTCATAGAAATTTAATTAAATTATAATCAACAATTAAATTAATTATATAATGATTTTAATAAAATGATAATTAAATATAGGAAAAATATATGATGGATATACATGTATGATAATAATGATGGAATCATAAATGTTAGAATTAAATAGTAACTAAGTTATAACGATATAAGGGTAGTTTTATCTAACAAAAATGTAATAGTGACACTTTTGTACAATAATATTGAAATGTATACATTTTTTAGCATACAAAATATGGACATAAATATAAAGATATACCTTGGATTGAGACTTATTATGTTTTCAGATTAGATTATAAGAAAATACTATGTAGATCTCCCATCTTCTACAACCAAAATTTACTCTCATTCTTAATTTTTTGATGTGTGAGGATCTATACAGGATGAAAATAGCATATCATTTTTTGTTATATTATAGAGTAAAAGTAAAAGCAAGAGAGTAAAACTTGAAAATATAAATATCAGGACTCTAAACTAATGTTTGGAGTTGTAATAGAAACTTCATTTTAATTTTGTTTTTTGTTTTGTTTTTTTGTTTTTTTTTGTTTTTTTTGTTTTTTTTTTGTTTTTTGGATTATATCCATTATAATTGCAATTAGTTGTCAGACTTTCATACAATTTACACTACTCATTATCTAATTCGATTGACATGCACGCGATAAATTTTTACATGATCCGAAATATTGTGCGAATGAGATTATGTCTAATGATTATTTTTAAATAAGTATTTCAAAGTATATCGTTGCAATATTAATATATAGGAAATGTTTATACACAAATAATTGAATATTGAATTTGTTTATTTAAATAAGTAATTCAAAGTATAATGCAAGATAATATAGTTGTCACTAAAAATCAATCTCAATTTTACATCTCAAAAAATTGAATGGATCAAATCTAATTAAAAAAAGACGCAACGACATTTTCGTAGAAGGCAAGGATATTGAATCGCTATACATTCACATTGAGAAGTAATTAGCTAATATTTTTACCAAACCTTTAAATGAGGTGAGATTTAAATAGTTGAAATATGCTCTAGGGATGTGTCTACTACCATCAAATCAAGAGTGACAAGAGCACTACCAAGTAAAAGAAAAACTTTGTTTTACTTTTACTACTAATAATGTATATATTTTTCCTTTTGGTCAATGTTACAGGTAAATGCAAGAACTCCTAAAGTTTAAATTTTTGTCTTGTTGAGCATAATATATATATATATATATATATATATATATATATATGTGAAATTCAACTATCATCTGAAATTTTTAGTTGAGATGAAGCATATTCTTCAATTTGGTATCAGAGTCAAAAAAATAATCGACTCGTACATGTAAGGAGACGTATTTAGTTGAGATGTAACACATGCTTCAATTTGTCTTTTATTAAAACGTTTGGCTCATATTAAATTGACTAGTTCTTTTATGCGCTTTGCGCTAATGGAATAATGCCCAATGATTATTTTTAAATAAGTATTTCAAAGTATATTAATGCAATATTATATCAGAGATATTTATGCATATGTAAATAAATATTGAATTTGTTTATTTAAATCGGTAATTTAAAGTATATAAATCCAAGATAATATATGAGATATTGATTATATTGTCACTAAAATAAATGTTTGCAACTTTGTAATTAATAACACTAGTCTAAATACTTAGTCTAAAAACGACAGTCTAAATAAATACCACTTTTAGTTTAAATTCTTCTAATTTTTCTTATTTCTCTTTTGGGTAGCATTGTCATTGTCTCCATCTTCAGTACATGTTCTTATTTATTTATTTATTTATTTATTTATTATTATTGGTAGTCTGTCATGTGCAATTGGGTTACTGGTGGTAGCAAGATGGACTCATCGTGCAATGAGATTATAGTGTATGAAGTTTTAGATTTGCCTTATTGTGTATATGATGGGATCTTAGTTGTACTATTAACTTTTTATCTTACAAGCATCTATTGATATTTGGTAGTGGTAGTTTTTCTCCTACATGTTTCATGCGTTGTGAGATGTGTGTTGTAAGTTATCATGTGAAAGTATTGAACAAATTAAAATATTAATATTTATTATATTTGTATAAAATATTTGGTAAACAAATATATATATATATATATATATATATATATATATATATATATATATATATATATATATATATATATATATATATATATATATATAACATATTTTGTATTATAACTTTGATGTTTAATTACAAGATAATGTAAAAAGAAGACAATGGACAATGTATTGAATATAATAAATTAATAAATTTGAAGGTAATGAATCTTTGAATTGTAGAAAATAAAGATAATATAACTACCTTTAAAAAAAAAAGATAATATAACTAATGAAATTATATCTCTTTTTAAATTTTTTATAATGAATACTTTTTTTTTAAATAAAGGAATTATAGACATCTAATTGTAAATTAATTAAATGCATATGTATTATTTTTTGTTGTAGCTACTAATTTACTCCGTATTTCTAAAAACATAATAAGTGTGAATGAAAGTTATACCCCTGATTTATGCTCGTTTTTTCCGTTAAGTTTTTTTTTTTTTTTGTACATTATGCTATAAAGGTTGTACATTAAAATATTTTGGACAAACATACCCCTACCCATTATAGGTATAACTCTCTTGGGCTCTTATTAGTATAGTAGATATTTATATTTATGTAATAATTAACATATAACTCAAATATTTAATGTGTATATATTATTATTAATGAAGAAGATAAGAAAATATATGGTGGATTAGGGGTGAACGAGCCGAGCCGAGCTCGAGCCTGGGTAGGCTCAAGCTCGAGCTCGTTAATGAAGGCTCGGCTCGAGTTCGAGCTCGA